ATGATTGGCTGTCACTGCTGTCATTCTGAGAAGCTCACCTTACAAACATCTGATGCACCACTGAATCGGACTCTGATAGGTTGATCACAGCGCTGCTTGAGAACTGTATGGTCGCTAGTCTTTTTCTCTGCTTTCTTGTACATTTAGCTTTTTATTTTTTTATATATATATATATCTTAAATGGAGTTACAGTCTTGGAGAAGACTGTAGGTCAGCAAACAGTCCGTGAGGGAATCTAATACTTTTTGTTGGGCAATTGTTATTTACTTGGGTCACGTAATCTAGAAGGGTTGTAATATCAGATGTATTAATTTACACAAAGATTTGAACCAGTGTCATGTGTTTGTGTGTTTGGTTGTCATACTCGCAGCCGGGATGTCTGAAAGAATCGAGAGAAGCGTAATAGACTTAGACTGACACTCAAGGAACTGTGTAACACCCCCTCCTAAAAAACCCTCACTAGCTCCATAGAGCGGCATATCCACTTCAACATCCTCCTCCGCATTTTAAAGCTTTCAATAATATTGTAAAGTGTATTTTTTTGTTAAAACTGCTAATTAATAAAACATATTATTGTTATATATTATTATTATTACAATAAAAAGAAAAAATACAATCTATAAATGTGATTTTATATATCCAAGCTCATAATAATTGTAAAAGTATTTGTTTTAAATCTACATGGATTGTTGCACACCAATTTGTCCAATTGTTCATGTCATGTATCCATATATTTTGTCAGAAAAGGGATAGCTGAGATACAAGAGAAAGTGGTGGAAACAAACACAGAAGAACTTATAACTATATATATATATATATATATATATATATATATATATATATATATATATATATATATATATATATATATATATATATATATATATATATATATATATATATATATATATATATATATATATATATATATATATATATATATATATATATATATATATATATATATATATATATATATCCCCCACTTCTGGAATCAAAATTTCATCCATGGTGATCCATGAACAATTGTTTATCGCCAAACTAGGTGCAATGTGTTGAGTCAGATGGGACAGAGGAGTCAGGGATCAGAGTGACAGATGCTCTCTGGCTAGCACTTACTGGAAACCCATAGTGCTGATCTGCAGCCAACAATAGACAATCCGCTCAAAGAAACCTAGACGTTTTGCTCTCTCAGCTCTTTAACAGTTTGTAGAACCAACGTTTTGTAACTTTGACTTTATATCTGAACCTCAGCAAAAACAAAAAAACATTTTTGCTTCCTACATTTTGCAGTCTTTTTCCAAATTGTTAAAGCATCAGAAGCTTTCATATACATGTAATGTATTTGCTTATGTAAGAAATAATCTTTTACTCCTGTCTACTTTGAAATATTGTGAAAAAGATGAAGATAAACCATTTACTCGTATTCTGTCTCTCACTTCATAATTTCCTTGATAACTAGCCACCAACATTACTGTAGGTTATTTAAAATTCTAGATTCGGCACTGCTTTGTTTTGCTCTCTTGCTGAAGACAGGAAGCTTCCATGTTCATTTCAGTCAAATACTTTGATTCTCCTCAGCAAGCTTCTGGGCAAACTGGGGTTTAAATACAAACACCCAGCAAGAAAAGAGAATAAAGCTTGAAGAATACACTATAGTTTCGGGAAACAATATTTAAACTTATTTAATTTCACAACCTTGTTTCAATAAGATTCAGAGACCCTGAGATTTGGTTAGTATTTAGTCATGATCTCAAAAAATACTAATAATATCTAATCCATACTGTATTTTGTCAGAGTAATAACATTTTTTATAATGTTTGTTGATGACATAAATGATATTATATCTCTTTTAATTCAATGTATGTATCCAGTGTTGGGCTTTAGTGATCTAAAAAATATATTTTCAGAAGAAAAATTTAGTGCATTTAAATCTGTGTAGTAAAACCTGCAGATTGTTGCTCAGTAGAGTTATAAGCACAACTAAGGCAGAAAGATCTGATTCTGATATTTGAACTGAAATTGCACTTAGGTTTGAAACAAACAACCTTAAAAACAACTCTAGACTTTATTGTTTTGACTTATTTAGACTTATTGTATTGTTTTTATTTAAATATTTGATTGTGAAGATTTTAACTATGGTAGAAATGTTTGTTTTAATTTGGTAAACTGCATAATCCTTTGCACAACAGCGATCTCTACTCAATTTCTTCTACTGAAACAGAGTTCTCCATCTAGTTTTCAGCTTATTTTATTGTCTAAATAATAGATTCTTTGCAAAATAAAATCTTAAGTTGCTGTCTTTTTAACAGTTTGCTAAACTTTTAACTGAGAGCGTTTTTGTGAACCTTAAGATAATTTTTTCTACACAACCCACATCTTAATATAAATTTCATGCTAATACCAAGTCTCATGCTACTCCCTTTAAAAGTCAGCAAAACACATTTTTACATCAGCTGGTTCACAGGGGTAAATTTAGGATACGTAACAGTACGATCTTAACCACAACACCCTAGTGATAAGGAACATCAAAGATCTGCAGGATGGTTTCAGGCAAAATCACTCTACAGATTTAGGATTTTTACATATAATCAATTGTATTTGCCCAAGAGAAATTTATATGCAACATTTTGCAAAAAATAAAAGAACGGGTCGGTATCACTGGAGTTTATCTGCTTCCTATTCAAAGCCATGCTGTGTAAATGCAGAGAAGGAGCACATTTGGGAAATGGAAACCAGCCCTTTTGGGAAATTTCCGTTTAGAGAATGTGACCTTCAGAAGCAGAGGGAGGTGATAAGTTTATCTAAGACATGGGAATGACAGATGAAGAAAACAGAAAGATTTCCTCCGGACATACTTAAAATATGTAATCTTTAGTATGTTTTTTTTAAGTTTAACAGTATCAAAGAGGTCAGCTTATGAGCAAATACAGGTAGACCTTACTTGCAGTCCTCTATGTGGCCAAGGCTTATAAACGAAAAGTCCTGTTCAGATTTTTAGTTCTTGCTAAAGCCACTTAATGAATGAAATGAATGAAATCTCCAAATTATTAGCACACACTTGCCTATTTTCTTCACTCATTTCTCATTAGTAGTCCAGAGTGCTAATCACTCTTATCGCATTGAAAGTAACTCCTGAGCATCTAATGATTAGTGGAAAAAAATCACTGACAAAGAGTTGGCTATTTACCAAGGATGAGGATCAGGATTTGTTTGGTAATCAGTAGCAATTCCAGTTATTTAAGAGTAGACCTTACATACTGCACATTCAGAATTAAAAAGTTGTTAGAATTTTGTTTTAAACTTTATGACTCATGTCAAACATTAATAAACTCGTTCCACAAACTTCTGCATTTTTTTTTCAAGAGAAGTAACCCATTTGTCTGAATGAAACGGCTCAATTAAAGCCAGGCTTGTAGACATCAATTGTACATCTATTAGGCTCTTCTGACAAACCTATAATAAAAACTTTGATCCTGTTTTTATAATGACTGTTGAACCTCAACTCTGTGACTAAATACCTGTTTTTAAGGTCATTTCTATTTTCGGAGCGCTGTTGTGTCCGAAATAGATATAAAATATAATTTTTAAGCCATAAAATCTGGTTTAAGATTGAGATATTGCTTAAATATATCTACAGTATCTCTTGAATAGGACCTGGCTATCTCCAGAGGTGTCAAATAACAAAGTACAAATACTTCGTTACTGTACTTAAGTACACTTTTTAGGTATCTATGCTTTACTCCATTACTTATTTTTCTTCCCACTTCTGAATTCTACTCATTACATTTTCACACAAGTATCTGTATTTTCTATTCCTTAAGTTTTTAAAACAAACGTTAGTCGTTACTCTTGGCTTCGATTTAATGGTTATAAAAATTTATTTCACGGCATGTGTGCCATCCAATGCAGATCATTGGCTCCATCCATTCATATAACGCAAACACTCATTGGTTAGCTATTTGTCAAATTTGTGCTGATGCCAAAGGAAATCATTAGAAGCAAGCAGGTGTTCTTCAAACCGCAAACGTGAATTGTCTATGCCATGCTACAATGTTGAATTCAGAAAAAGATGTTGAAATGTCTGAAAAATCGGACTCAGGCGAGAACGTATCAGGAGATGGAGACCAACAAGACCTCCCTCATCCTTGGCCCTATCTCAAAGAATTTTTCAAAATAGTTGTAAAACTGAGCTTTCAGTTCATATAGTGGAATCTTGCAGTTTTTTTAAAGGTTACCATAGTGGGAAAGAAGCATTCAAATATTCACCCTAGTTAAATAAATGGAGATCGATTGATTTCACTCAGTCGCACTTTATTCATCGTATCTTTGCAAAGAGATATACAGCTAATTACAGACACTTTGGTTAACAGTAAGATGTTATGAATAAACCCTGAGAAAGAATCTGGCTTGTTTTGGGAAGAAGCTATGTCTGGTCTACAAACATCCTCACGCAGAGAATTGAATGGCCTTGCAGGTAAAACAGACTGAGTAAAAAATTTGATAGTGAGTAAATGGGATAAATCAATGTAGGAAATCAAAATTTTCTGACAACAGATTATTTATACTTTTATACTTTAAGTAGTCTTTGGAGCACATACTTTTTCACTTTTACTTGAGTAAAGAGGTCAAGTTGATACTTCAACTTCTACCAGAGTGTTTTCAAACTGCAGCATCTATACTTCTACTTAAGTAACAAATGTGTGTACTTTTGACACCACTGCACACACCTGACTTAAAATGTGAAAATAAACACAATTTCATAGGTAAGCTTTAAACAAATCTATGAAAGAAAAGATTAATTAAATCTTAAATTAAACTTCAATTCCAGCTACTACACATATTGATAAACCACTTACCGGTACTTTATTTGTTAGAAAAGCTCCAAACGCAAAGGTGAAAAAGATCATGAATATGTGATCCATTTTCAAGGTTATAAAAGATACAGTTGGCTTAGTTTATTGCAAAACTGAAAGTATAAATCAGCGAGATTTCCCTACCTCGTCATAAGTGTAGCGGTAGTCTGCCTTCTTGGATTTCAAATCCCACAGGACCACGATTCCAGACTCATATCCAATTATAAGCTGCAGAAGAAGAGCGACAAGCATTCATTGAAACTGGGGGATAGAGAATACCCTCTGATGAGCAGAAACTGAAGTAATACTCTTGACATTCCTGCACAGCATGATAGAAAGTCAGTGTAAGTGAAAACCTGCTTCTCCTGGTTGACAGCTGAAAAGGGAAAAAAAGGCTCACAAAAAGAAGAAAGGGCTGCTTTGATTCTTGACAACCTATTTATAGAAACAATACCTACCCCACTCAGTCTCAGTATGTTAAGATTTTAATATTCGGCACAACTGTCTCAGAATAAAGAAAGAAATCTTTAAATGTTCTGTGACTGTGTGGGCATTATATTTATCTAACACAGCAAACCACATAAACACAGTACATCAATTGAGTACCGAATCCTTTAGAGCTTGATTCCTAACTGGGGGTAGTTTGCATTGCAAGGGGTACATGAAAATATTTTATTTCTTATGTAGTAAAATAGAATAGGGCTGGGATCTGTTTTGCTTTCTGAGGACCCAATTGAAAAATCAAGCAAGCTTCCCAAACAAAAACCTAAACTTATTTTCGGTTTTGTTTGGATTTAGATGATTGCTTAGCTTTAATTTGTTCAAATTGAACAAGTTGAGTTTTTGCATTTTGAGTTTTTGTCCTCTAGTCATGCTGAGATCACATAGAGTTTTACTGAGCGCTTGTTTCTCCCTGAGACTAAACCTTGTTTGTTCTTTGTCAATCGGCAGGAAGCCTTCCTGCAAACTGGACCTTTTTGGACCGCCTCCTCCCAAGTGGGATCAAGTGAGTCATACACTGAGCGACGGATTCCAAACAAGAGGTTTGGATCCAGCCACCTTTGAGAACACTGAGATCTCTCTGAGTAAGGAAGTCATCTTCACCACGACAAGTTCAAGTACCACAGGAAAACTGAGTTGCAACCAGCGGCTACATCATTCCACTCCGTCCGAGTTCTGGGTAAACCCTGTTCCGCCCTCCACCGAATCAAACATTCTCTGGAAGACCAACACACAGACTGAAGTCTAAGTGTCTCTGCTTCTCTGGAAACGTGAGTGGCAACAATTCCTCTCCTTCAAGATTGACAACTCCAATTTCCCACTAAGCCTGAACCTAACAGTCTGTCTTCCCTTCGTCTTCCAGTTTCCGGCTGAGCAGAGTTTGGAGGAACTCTGCACCTAACTCAATATACACTTCAATAAAACCCGTTTAACTTTAATATTGTGTCACTCTGTTTGGCTTCATTGCATGTTGGTCCGAGCCTTAGAAAAAATCATGACAATAGGTAAATTTTGTAAAGTTTTCCACCCCTTTTATTGGGGATTGTACAGTCGGTGTGACGTAGGTGTGTCTCTATTGTTTGTTTGTTCTTTTGCTGTGATCGAGGAAATTTGAACCCCTCTGCTCTTCTGCTTTAAAATGTAAAAACAGCCTTTTTTTTAATATATAAAAAGAGATGTACAATTTTTGGTGTTCCTTTCACTTCCTGTTGTTTCCTTACTGTAGTTGTTTTAAGTTAATGTTTTAAGAATCAGTTTATTTAATAAAGTCCTGTAAATGATCTTGCACCTTTTTACACTAGTGAACATTAACATCAGGGGTGTTGAACTAATTTTAATATCGGGTCCACCGAAATCATCATCTTAAAAGGGCCAGTTGTAGCTGTATAAATAAAACTTTCTCTTATATACAAAGAACACATTGCTATGGTATTATAACTTTACTCCAATGTTTTAAGATTAAGATACTTTCTATTCTTTAAAAGAAAATTTGCCACTTTTTTATTACATGATGTGCTTCTTCTGGTTCTTGAAGGCTGGAGAAATTGCAGTAATGGGTCAGATTACGCCTGTGGACCGTAGGTTTTTGGATTGTACGTTGCTGTACATCCACACATCTCCGGTAGACCTCTCAAAAAGCTTTTAGCTGTTTCCAGAGCCAGGGAAGAAAAAGCCTACAGCTGCAGCTCCAAAGATTTAGAACAGCGTCTCAGTGTCTTTGAGTTTTGTAAGAACTTTATGGGATTTTTAGCTCAATTTAAATATTTATCTTTTTGAACTTGCTTTTAATTCCAGACATGACAATAATTAGACCAGTCCCCTTTCTTATATGCCCGTAATTGCAGATCTAATTGCTTGCCATTGTCAACCTTGCATTATATTGATATTTATGATTTTGTTACTATTTTCAATGCATTTGTTATTCACCTGTACAACACATTGGTTGCCCTTTGGGTTATAAGTGCTTTATAAATAAATACACTAGTGCATAAAAAATCCCAGCTTTGAATAGAGAAACTGCTCAAAAAGAGATTTAAAAATAGGAACTGTATGGCACAATTGCAAACCTAACTAGCTGTTCTCTAGAAAAAACTGAACCAGATAGGGGGAGTGTTAATCAGAAAAGGCAACCGGAAGGTCTTTGCCATTGATACATGAAGGCAGATATCCACAGCTCTTGTGGGTGGAGGGGGTTATGCATTAGAAAATACCAATGGACATTGAAGTAAACACAATGCAACATTTTCACAGAGAAAATGGCGACGGAAGTACCATGATATGGACATGTCTTTAGCTGGGACAGGGAAGCTGGTGAATGCTGCTGGTACAGTAGGTTGAATATTTACATAGCATTGCTGGAGGAACAACTTTAAAAGCCTGCAATCTACCATATACAGTGGCAGAGGTCACCTTTACATCAGAATGCATTAACCTCAGGAAAACATGATGCCTGTGCAAGCCAGGGGGCCGCATAAGGCCACATAAGGTGCTCACTAGTCTGTATCAAGAATAGCTCAACCCACTAGTGAACTGTCTCTATAATATTATTTATTCAGCTGCTCTTTTTTATAATAAAAAAAATTACAACTACTAAAAAGGTAGAAATATATTTATTATACATTATATATATATATTTGTGCTCAAACATTTCACACAAAAAGAAATATGTATATAGGATAAATTGAGACTAGAGCAGGTAGGGAAAGTCAAAAGTGCCAAATATTCAGTGCATTAAAAAGAAATATTTCTATTTCTAATTTCTTAATGTGAAAATTCCAATGTTTTTTGCAAGACATGCAATAAATAAAAATATTTTTATAGTATCTCTTGCTTAACAAATCAAAATTATTCTTGACCGGAAAGTCAGTCATAACTATTTGGATTTGCAAGGGGATTTTCATGTGCTCTAATAAAGGAAGCCAAAAAGGTTATTTATAATTTTTCCTCATAGTGCTGCATTTTTGATAGAATGATGACAGAGAGTATCCGAAGACTTCTCCGAACAGCCAGATGGACAGATCATAAGCACATGTTCATCTTTTTAAGATGCCAAAAACACACTCAAACGAAGAACTAGAGGAGCATGATTCACAACATATTCATAAAGCAAATCTTTGGAAAATGGGCAGGCTACAAAGAGTCTCAAGGAACTGATAAAATATTGAGGTGGATGGGCTTTTCATCAATTTACAAAATTGTGAACAATTCGATAAAAAATTATCCAACAAAAGACTCTTTTTTTTTGTGGTCGTTTTGTCATTCTTTATTAGCTCACCATGGGATAGGTCCCTAAATGTGTTTAAAAATAGCATCAGTTGCCAAAGTATTTAACCGAAACAAAGAGCTGGCAATAGGGAACTTCAAATACAATACAACACACTTGGTTATTGTGATCTGTGATGTAAACATATAGTTCATGTAAGAATATTTTGATATGTCCTCAGTTTACCTTCGTTCTACTTTAATTCCCCATACTAGTCAACAACTGATATAAAAGTAAAATCCAAATTAAGATAACAAACCCCCAATAGTTATAGTATTAAGTGTAGTTTGAGTGCAGAGGGGGTCATAATATGCATAATTATATCAAACCTCTTGGTTGAGGTTGTTGAAGTAGATTTTTCAGGCACAGACTTAAATTTAAAGCACAGTTTATATATTTCCAATTAGTTGTTTTATACACCTGATGTATACATATATATATATATATATATATATATATATATATATATATATATATATATATATATATATATATATATATGAAAACCTAAGTAAGACAATTTTCTTTAAAAGAACAGCATTAATTTTAATTGAGCAGGTAAATGAGACACTTTGCAAATGCAATAAAACAATTTACATTTAGAAAAAAGAAAACAATAACTGCAGTCTCTTATTTCAAGAGCATCATATCTAATTATATTATTGGAAGGGTAAAAATACACATTCTAGGGCAAATACACTAAATTAAAGAAATTTTTACTCATCTTTAGATGTTAGTTTTTGCAGTGCAGTTCTTAAACAAATTGTAATATTTGTTTTGGCTTAATGCCCTGTTGGAACAGCTATTTTCAAAATGTCCAACATCTACATGTTTTGAAATCAAATTTAAACATCATGAGTTTGTAATCTTTCATTATTCTACCCACTTTGTGTAATACATTAGTAGCAGTGATGATAATACCAGAGCTAAGCAATGTTCTTAGGTTGGAAAACCTCTCTTGACTCTTCAAAATATTCGTCTTGTCATTGTGGCCAAAGAGCTCCATCCTCACTTCATCTGTAAAGTTTTCTTAGAAAGGGATTTTAAATTTAGATTTTTTTTTCAAGCTTTTCTGACAATCTGTTTTTTGAAGCAGTAGTTTCTTTCTTGTACAGCACACTGTCAAACTGTCAAAACACTTTAAACATTAACAGGGAGCATCAGTGCATTAGTACCTTAAAGTCTATTAGTGTATGAAAACTGAGTTTAGGTGAGTATGACTATTTCATCACTGAAAAAAAATATAGACAAAAATGTTGTTTACCTTTCCCTCATCCATAGGGTTATCACTTATGTGGACAACTGGCCCAGGGTGGGTCTTGGAGGAACTTATGAGAGACAAAAAGACAGAACAGAAAATGTGTTTTATCATTTTTGAGCTTCAATAAACAAAGCAAAAATAAATGCATCAACAGCTCTGTGTGATAATCCAAGCCCCCTCACAGATTCCTTGTTTTAGTTTATTCAATCAAACAAATGTTTTAGACAATCAAACAAATTATAAAATGAATTTAAAGTGGACTTGGTTTTCAAATCTTGAAAACCAAGTCCAGGGGATATTTTTTGAATTTTTACGGAATGAATTTAAAGTGATTATTTCTATTATTAAGATACAAACAGCTATCTCAAACATCCTGCTCCGATACATGTCCATGCTACTTACTATGTAAATCTGTTAAGTGAAAGCTATTATTCAAATTACGGTATTTGGGTGAGAAAAACTGAAAATAAAACTGATTATGTGTTTTTCTTCTTTCACCTTTAAGGATTATAAAAGAATGTGACTGTTGTTAAACTCCTAGATGAGCGTTCCTGGGCGAAGAGAACACTGCTGCTCAGCCCAAGGTGAAAAAAAGGCAGCTGAAAGACTTGAAATCACCAAAGGTTGTGATAAATGACTGTGTCAGTTCCTAGTGGCTGTGTGTATGTGGATTTATGCTTCTGTTAATTTGCATGTCTGTGGAGGAAGACCAAAAGGCCTCCTCTCTTGTCCTTCTGTCCGTGTCTTACCCTCCAGACAGCTTTGTGTCAAATCTCCTCTTTCAGAAATTTTCTGACCTCCTTTATGAGGTGAGATGGGAAGGTCGCTGGTGAAAAACACTGATTGTTGTTGGAGTTAAAGCATAACCTTTTTACCACAGAGCAAGAGTAGAGATACCTGACAAGAAAAGAGGGGCACATCTAAACGTGAAAACAAAAAACAGGTGAGAACAGGTGGACACCTTGTTCTTGTCCTCTTTCTAACAGTCCACAATGTCTTTGCAAAATGAAAATCTGGAAGTGACAGGATGGATGTTCTGATACTAATATTATACTAATAGTAGCACTGATTATTTATCATAATTTATTATTATTAAGTGGTCAAATATCAGTTGATCACATTTTCTATTTGTTAATTTTAATTCACAGCATTGAGGATTTTTTTTATTTATACATATATGAAATAAAATGACTGACAAAAAAGGGGAAAAATATGCAAAGCTAAATATTTCAAACTGTTGTCATAGGAAAAAAAAATATTTCATGGTCACTGAGCAACTTTAATCAAACCTCATTTTGAAAACTTTAATTTCAAAACCTAAAGGTACACTACCTAAAAGAATTTCCAATTTAATCTTCAATGCACCCATAATATAACATTGATGATTGCAATTCCTTTTATAATTATTCCTTTATTGCTTACAGATCTGTCTGCCGTAAGCATCCTTAATTCTTCACATTAGGGGCAGAGTCTCGATAAATAAAGAGTTGTTTAATGTACAGTATGAAGCGCTACAGTTAGGTACTGATTTAGTAAAATAAAAATACATCAAGAGTACATTTTTAAACAATCAGGTTTTAATAGTATGTAGAACAGTTAGTAAATAATATAGTAGCACTCTGCCTGTATGTCCTATGAACTAAAATGAGTGACCTGCACTCCAAATATTAAAGGTTGAGGTTAAAAGTTCAAAATGATAAAACAGTCTCTTTGCAATACTCGGATCAAAATATAATTTATTTTTGGTATGTCTGTCATTCGCAGCCAGATATATGTCAAAGAAAACAGTTATATTGATATTCCTCCCGCAGAAACAAATTTTACACAAAAGAGTATTGTTAGTCTAGGACAGTAACCTACTTTGCTGAGTTATGAAAAAAAAAAAAAAACAACGTAGAAACAGATTGTAACTACAGTTCATCTACTTTCGTGCTCAATAGTATTCTTTTCAAACAAGTAATGAAAAAATAAATAAGCTACGAATCACACATTACAAACTTCACAGATTGCTGCTGTTTCAGATTTGCTGATCCAAATGGTCCCAGTCACCAGTAGATTTATTTTTGGATTCTCATATTAAACAAAAAAAAAAAAAGGAGAGTGACAGAAACCAGAGTGTAATGATCAATACTTCTTTTGAATATGATATGTATTGGAAGAATTTATCAATAAAATCATCAGACAAAAAAGAAACACATTTTCCATTGAGTTTATCTTCCATGCACTGTTTCCCATGTGCTTGCCTGTTTATTAGAAAGTAACAGTTAGTGGGCAGGCAGACAGTCAGTTCTGTCTATATTTAGCCTGTTAGTACTGGAGCCTTATTACCTAAGCTCTGTTGCAGTAGGATCTCTTGACGTGTCTAATACCCCTTTTACTGCCTGTCTGTGAGCTAAAAGCTATTCACACTTAGATGAACATCCACAATTATAAATCTTCATGCTACTCTGTATCATGACTTATACGAGCACTTTAACAATTGCAAACAACAACAACATTAGCATAAACAGTGGATGCTCTCCTAATGTAAATTAAAATCCACCTTTCATGTGCCATCGTATTTAATGACTTCACCTAATCATTGCTTTTCTGTCTATAAAATTCAGATTAAATTGTTTATAGCCCATAAATCTAGCATGGACACTTTTGCAAAGTCTCCAAATACACATTCAGGTTTGGAGATAAAGGAATCACCATGGCAACAGAGACAGGATGGGCAGGGTGCACATAGGCTCCCAAAAAAAACCCATCTGTACTCTGCCACGAGTACACTGACACACCCATACACAAGGAAAGATGTCAAAATATGTTTGACTTCATACATACACACCTGCCTGCATATAGTTGCATGTGTGCATCCCATTATTCTTATGGTGCTTTTGCATTTATCAAATTCATGTCTGTTCAGCTGCTTATTCAATGCTCTTCATTCCATGCAATACAGAGACGTGCTGATGAGGGCTTGAGTTAAACCGAATATCTTGTGGCAATTACAACCTTAGTATGTTTTTGGTTCATCCACTCATCTTTTTGTAAACCTATGCTGCAGCAAAAGCCATCTGAGTATCACCACTGACCAGCCATGTTTTTAGTGTAGTAAAGATACTGGGCAATGGGCAAAGCAAAGCAACTTCTTGTTTAAAGGATCTCTACTTTTAGTGAGTTTTAGGACTGAAATTTTTTCTTTCCATTTTTTCTAACATTAACAGAGCAGGATAACAAAACAGGACAAAACAGACGAAGAAACAAAACAGAGGTTTGAATGGAAAAGGTTTTAATCAAAAGTCAGTAATTTGTGATTTGTAATTTACCCACCATTGTTTCAAAGTTGTTCTTTTATTTCCTATTGTAGAACTCGAGTGTTAGAGCCACTATAAATGGATTATAGAAGTTAAATAGTTTTTTGTTTCATATTTCATGGAGACTTTCAATATCTATTCACAAATAGACGAAAATGTTCAAGAAATAGAAGCATAAAAAGAAGAACCCATTTACAATAGCTGCTAGCCAATAAGTAAGAAAATGGAGGAAATTAAAAGGGAACCAACACATGAAATGCCTGAAGTCAACATGCTCATATAAACTATGTGTCACAGTAAGCTGTGAGCATTTGTCACTTTGGACCCACTTCATGACTTTTTGTAGCTAGCAACCATTTACTGAAGCTGAATCATATTTAACACACATGCAGTCACACAAAAGCCCTCAGGCACAGATCTTAAGGCACTTTTACTTGTATAGCAATGTGTATTTATGATATTTAAAAGTTCACCGTGTGTTTACATTCTGGTCCATTTTTTTTTGTAGCAAAGTAGGAACAGAAGATTGAGTCAAAAAAGCGGTTTTGGCTTGGTTAAGCAATGCCAGGCCCCCAGCTAAATTTTCCAGCAACTGCTGCTTTTCTCCAAATAGAAGAGCCCAGGGGGCACTGACGCTGGAACCCACTACCTTCTGGCTATTTAAGCAGTCACAGGAGTACAATGTTGCAATGGGCAGGGTGTTGAATATAAAACTGTTCATGCAAGAGGCAGGAGGCCCGTTTTGAAGGAATTATATTTATATATATTTTTGTAGAAAAAAAAAATATATTTTTGAAAACATTGTTGCTTAAAAATTAAAAGTAAAAAAAAAAGACAAAACACGGAGCATTAAAAACAAAAAGTTTTGACTTGATGGAGTTCTTGGCTTCATTGGTGGTGGCCAGGGAGTTGGAAACTCAGTGAAAACCTTCCAGGTTATGTCGATAATTTGTGTTAATGAATGAAGGACAAAATTTAAGCTTTTTAACATAACTTTTAAAGGGTGTTTAGAATTAAGTCAAAATAAACTGATGCATAGAAAATACTTTGCAAGAGGCGATTTTCTGGGATGCATAAAGCACATGTTAAGGGATGATATAGGCTGGGAAGGGGCAATGCTTCAGAGGATAATAGAGGCTACTGTAAGTCTTGCCTTTACCAATTTGAGCTTTGAGATTTTTTTTAAATGTTAGCAGACTTTCGAAAATCTCTGTTAAGATAGGGATCTACATTCTCTATGAACAACATAGTGTTTTAAATTGAAAGTGATCCTTACTGCGCTAGAGGCTAATATGATGGACTCAAATGTTATAATTTTGTTTTACAATGAATTCTCTGTGATACACAGTATGATGTTGTTTTTGCTCCTTTGAAGACTTTAAAACAATTTCTTGAAGTTGTTCTAATATCTAATTATATATACAAAAATTCAAAAAAATATTATACCACTTGTAATTGACACCGCAAGCATAGCTTCTATTACAATTACATGAATATACTCATAAAATAAACAGGTGCTAGTTTGCTTAGCCATGTTTCCTCAATGAAACCGCTACAGGAGTGACTACTGTCATTAAACTATACTCATCTCCCATAAAAAGCACCCCTGGATCAGTGTTTGTGTGTTCCTTTTGTTTGCACAGGTATACACAGGATACACAGGTACAGCGGCGTAGGAAGCGGGGGGGACGGGGGGGACATGTCCCCCCCAATATAAAAGCAAGGTGGATATGTCCCCCCCCAAAAATTGTACCGCAAAATATTAGAT